GGGTTAAAAAGCTGGGAAAGGGCCCTTCTCCTCACTTCTGCCTAAGATCCAGCACTGCTGCAGTACTTTGGTGGAGATTCAGACTGCAGGAAAAGTTGGGAATTCTTTCTCTGGGTAAAGTTAATATGAAAGAGAAAGAAGGGGAGACAGGTGGCCTTAAAGACTCCTAAAAACAGTTCGAGGCCAGCTCAGGCCTTATGTGAGGGAGTGTGTGTGGCTTGCCTCAAGGCTGTGTCTGTGACACTCAAGACTCTTAAGGGTGTAGATAGCTGGATAGTTGGACCCCCAGTCAGAGGCTCATAAAGAGAGCTCCAGAATGAAGGGCATCCTTGTGCCTTAAAACAAACAAAAAATAGTGCCTGGCACATAGAAGATGCTTAATAAATATTTGTTGAATAGATGAATGAATGAAGTCTGAATCTAAACCTAAAAAAGGGTCCTGACAAACCACCATGCCTATTTCTCTGTACAGGCGTAAGGGGAGACAAGCAAAGCTGGACATAACACCAGGCAAACCACTCTGGTGTTGATAAAATCGAGTCTATGTAACAGACAGAACCTACAAAAATAGAATTTTCAGTCTCTCAGTCCTTTTTATCCTCTGAGAAGACCCCCATAATTGATAGCTGGGGCTCCTCGTACTTGTATAGATGGAGGGAATGAGGGACAGAAACAAAGGAACTGAAAACAAGCTTGGACTGATTCTCATTAGAAAATTCAACCAGTTTCTTCTTGAGGGAGAGGAAAAAAATAGATCCAAAAGTGAAGAGAGTTGGGGAGAGAGAAAACAGGGCCAGGTGTAAGGGAAAGTTTGGGGGTGTTTAGGGAGAAAGGAGAACAGCAGCAACAGCTTTGCCATAAGCATGAGACTAACAGAGGAGGGAGAGAAGTTGAGGATGTTTTGCTCTGTGCTAAGAATGTAAACCCCTACAGAGTTCTCCCAGAGACTGTAATAAAAATCTAAATGGTTTGTTAATTCTTTTTGGCTATTAGACGCGTTTCTTTTGAATATGATACCATGCTGAGATGGGCCATGAGGCAGCTCAGCTTCATAAAAGTTACATTTGGGGCATTTGGGAGCTAAGATACCACTGAACGCTGTATCTTGTGTTAGGTCATTGTTATAGACCTGAGTCAAGAAAACATTTTCATCAGACTTACAGTGCAAAAACTATGTCAGCTGTATAAAGTAGAAACAGGAGATAAAATACACATCAGATAGAGGAAAACAGCAGAGACTATTCAGAATCATAATTTCAGTGTGTTTGGACCCAAGTGTACTTGATGGAGATCTGTATCTAAGCAGACGAGGTCTGTTTCCTCCATGGGTTGATGACACTGGGATGAAGGAATAGAACAGCTAAGGTGATTTTCAGCAGGAAGGAGAAGAGTGTGTAGGAGTTATGTTCTCTTGCTACGTGGCAGTCAATGGCTGGGATACCCACCTAGTCCCCTTTTGCTTGAGAATGGACCCAAGCAACAAACTCTAGGGTACTGGCCTCCAGAGGGCCCAGCCCTATAAACCAGCCAAATCACTGAGGTTCTGCTTTGCTCTCTAAATCTCCCCCCCTTATTTTCCTGAGACTAGACCCTTCTCCTATCTCATTCCACACAGAATTCCTACAATAATATTCTGTATCTGATGCACCAATGTCTCCTCCTTTTATTCTCAAGTACTGCTACTGGTCCACTCCCCCCGTTCCCATCCACCCTTGGCTCTCTAATGTCTGACCTGGTATTTGTTGGGATCAGCCACACTGCTGGATTACTGCATATGCTCCCATGGTCTTTCATGCTTCTCCAATAATGTCCCCTCCCCTTGGGCTCAGACCCCCTGGACTCTAAGTGGACTTCATGACTAGCACTTCTGGGAAGCATGATGTAATCTTATGCTGAAAGCCCTGACATATATGGTCTCCTCAACAATAGTGGCAAAGGCCCTTGTGTGATGGCATAACCCAGCTCCTACTGTATGGGGATCATGTTAATGTAAGCTTATGGGATGCCAGAGATGGGAAGCCCTACATAGGAGGAAGGGCCACTCTTTGAAAACAGAAGGCAGAAACCACCTGAAGGGGTGAGAGCACAGGCAAGATGAAATCTTCCATGTGAAGTGCTGCTCAAGAGATATGTAGTGATGGGCCCAGGCATCAAGCCTGAAAGAAAGTATATTCTGGTTATAGGAGAGCTCTCCTGGGAAGTTCAACCCCATAGAACTTGAGAGCATGCTTGCTATAGTATACTCAGAAACTTATGCTATGTAAGCTCAGTTGTTTCTATGTGTCCTGTTTCTGTTCCCACTCTCCTTATAGTTATGCTTTTTACAAACTCTTTTTGCAAATACCAGCCCACTTTAGCTGTGTTTCAGAAAACCAAGGAAATGCACTTCTGTTCTCGTCTGAGCCAGAGATGTAGGACTAACAACAAGGTAAGCTGGCAGTAGCTCATGCCTATAATCCTAGCACTCTGAGAGGCCAAAGTGGGTGAATTGACTGAGCTCATGAGTTTGAGACCAGTTTGAGCAAGAGTGAGACCCCTATCCCTACTAAAAGTAGAAAAAATAGCTGGGCATCAGTGGCCAGTTTCTGTAGTCCCAGCTACTTGGGAGGCTGAGGCAAGAGAATCATTTGAGCTTAAGAGTTTGAAGTTGCTGTGAGCTATGATGGTGCCATGGCACTCAGGGCACAGAGTGAGACTCTGTCTCCAAAACAACCCCCCCCTTACATTAGGTGTTACTAATCGTGTATGGAGCACACAGTGGGGGTAGGAACAATGACCAGAAGTGAGAGTGCTGCAAGTTTGTAGAAGGAAGGGAAGGATGAGCAAGCAAATAGGATGGAGTCATTAGGTTTAGAAAATACAGTACTGTGGGTTTTTTGAAAAATTTGGTCATATATTCATATTGGGAAACCAGATTTCTAATGGCTACATCATATTTTATTATATTAGCAACAACTTAGATTATTAAAATATTCTGCTGTTGGGCATTTGGGACATTCTCAACTTGTTTGTACTTTCTTAACAGAAAGAGAGAGGCATAGGCCAAAGAGTTCTCTAGTGTCCCAAGTTTCGCTAGGCCAGCCTCACTCTACATCACCAGAGCACACAACCAGGGAAACCCCAAGACAATGTATTTGTTATTGTTCAACCATCCATATACATAGCACTCACCCATACCTAGCTTTCTCTGTCTTGAAGTAACACAGTTTATTTCTTCTCTCCTGACTTGTTGTACTGAACTTTGCGCTCTGATCACTTGGATTCTTGAGTTTACTAGGGTTGTTATTAATTAATATGCTACTTCCCAGGTGCTGACTGCGTCGCAAGCTAGTATTATTTGTAAATATGTGAAATCCAGTTTTTTCTTCCATCTCGTTCCTTTTCACTCTACCCCTAATATAGGGAAAGGGTTTGTCACAAAGGTTGGGGATACTCAGTGTATGTCTGAACATGGGCTCTGGAGGGGAGGAGGATTTCCCTCACATGAGTTCCTCCCTCTCTCATCCATCCTTGAAGTGTTATTCAGAGTTAGAAATAGTACTACAGATTATCCAGTCCGATCTCCTAGCAGATCAGGAAAATGATTTGGCCAAGGTTTCTGAAGTAGTAAAACGCAGAAACAAAATTGAATTCAGGTCTTCTAAAATTCACTACATTTGGGCTGGAGAGTTCTGGATGAGAGAATGGAACTTGGTGTTCTTGTT